AACATGGACCCAGTTTCTTTTTCTTTTCTTTTCTAGTATATGAAGTTTAACTTCATTCCTTAAGTCCACTTTTATCTTGAAAGTCAGCAATGGCAGGTTGAGTACATCTCTTTCGGTGATTCTTAATCAGTCTCTTCTCCCTCTTACTACTACTACTACCATTAAGGATCATTGTGATTTTTATTTTATTTTATTTTATTATTTTTGTGTGAGGTACCATCAAATCAAATATGACTGGTACAGGAGGAGATTGTCCCTCCTTTACCGGAGCATCTGGTGGATTCGAACCGTGCACCTCTGAGATTGTAGTTGCAGCTCCTTGCCACTAGGCCAGCAGAGCTCCCCGGACTATTGTGATTCTATTGGGCTAACCTAGATATTGCTGTTATTAGGCAAAGTTCAGTCCACTCCAATTCATAGCTACCTCAGCAGTTCAAAGTCTTGCTCTATTCTTTATGTGTTGTCAGGAGGTGCCAGTCCTTAGAAAGAGACATCATGCTGAGAAAAGCAAAAGTTCAGCAGAAAAGAGGAAGACCTTCAAGAACATGGATTGACACAGTGACAGCAACAATGGGCTTGCTCTTCCATCCTCCTCCTTCCTCCTACTGGGGTTGTGTCAATTTAGTTTCCTTCTTAGTCTTAACATGATATTGTGACCCAAATCTTGGAATAGAAGACTCACTTAAAGTTCGAAAGAGATAAATCACACAAGGAGAAATATATTCTCTTCATAGAAAATGGTAGTGAATTAATGGGATTTATTGACTAAATTGTGGGATAATAAAGTGTGTTGGAAGAAACTGCCCATCTTTCTTTCATAAAGCAGCAGGTAGATTTGAACCACATATATTTGGGTTAACAGTGCAACTCCTTACCACTAGGCCACAAGACTTCCCTGGGATAATTAAGTGATGTGGGCTAAATAAGGAGTGGTTTAGATATATCTGATGGCAAACTCAATCAGCTTATTAAAAGAAAGACTATCTCACTTACTTTATATTTTATAAACACCTCATTTATTTCCAACAACTTCACTATGATAAGAGAGCTCTGGTAACCTGGTAGATAAGGAGTTGCGTTGCCAATCCAAAGGCAGGAGGTAGAATTCACCAGCTGCTCTGTGGGAGAAAAATGGGCAGTCTCCTCCCACCTGATTTATAGCCTCTGAAAACCCACTGGAGGCTCAGCTGAGTGGTTTCCAACTCAACATTCCATAACAATTCCTCTATGGAAATATTAGCCCCATTTCACAGAAAGAAAACCTGAGAAAGAAAGCTAAGAGAAGGTGTTTCAATCATATGACAACTCTGAAAAATGGTGAAGCCTACATTATTTTTATGCTACTCAAGGGTGTGATAACATACTTGTATATCTTTTGAGGCTGACAATGGTTAAAATGCATATAACAACAACAATCAATATGGTAATTTTAAACTTGTGCTTTTGAAGAAAGAGATAATCATGGGAATGAGTGGAGGAATGACAAGTATACCTTCAAATAAAACACACACACACACACACACACACACACACACACACACACACACACACCCCTGGTGGCCCAGTGGTAAGAAGCTATGCTGGAATCGCTAAATTAAGTAGTTCACATCCACCAGGTACTCCGTAGGAAAAGGATAAGCAATCTCCTCTTCAATGATCTATTGCTTCTGAAAACCCACTGGAGGGTCACCTATGGGTTGGTTTCTACTTGACAGCAAAGAATAAAACAAAATAAATTTTGTTCATATTTTTTACATAGTTTAGAGAAGGGCTCTTGTTAATTTAGTTAACCAATACTAAACATTTTGTATTTGGTGTTTATTGATCATAAAGTGTCCCTCTTTTGCCATTTTTCTCTTAAGCTTCCATTTTTCTCTATTGTATATTTAGTGGCTTGAATAATTTTAAATTTGTTTTCTTGCTTTAAAAATCCAAAACTCTGAAAATCTTCTTAATCTCCTCTTCATTTACTCACCTAGACCTGAAACTGACACATGGATTTTGGGATGGGGGTGGGGAGTGTTTGGTGGTTCACATCCAAGGTTCGTCATTAGAACAAAGATTTCGCTTTCTTTTTTTCCCCAATTCATTTCGTCCATGGTTACATAAAAATGTGATCACATGTTCATACTTATGGATTACTTACAGAGAGAGCCATTCCAGTTATATTTAATGCTTTTAGGGTAAGGCTATCTTTTCCTTCACAATTCATTTCCACAGAGCTGGGCTTAGAGAAGCTTGAAGAATGCTTATTCAATGTTCAATTGACTTGCAAAATTATATTAGCCTACCTTGTTTTGCTTTAGTCACTGCTATCCGGTTGACTTCCTTTCAAATCCTGATCTTTCCTTATTTAGATAAGTTTGCGGCAGGGAAGATTTGGTTTTGACTTACTGCCTTGAATGCATTTCCTTTTCACATATTTAGGCTAATGACCTTCAGTGTTATGCAGAACAAAGGAATTACCTGGCCACCATTCAGAAGAACTGTTTGGTTTGAAAAAGAAAAGGCTAGTTTCAGCAGAATCATTAAATGGAAATGAGAGTGTTTAGCCAAAAAAAAAAAAAAATTTAAAAAAAAAATTTAAAAGTCAGTTGAGAATACTTCAGAGATCATACGCTGATGTATTCTGTTTGGGCTGAGATAAGCATGTCAGTTCCTGTTTATAAGCTGATTATTCTAAGAAAATGACTTTGTAAAAATTGATGGACATTTTCCTAGTACTTCTCTTTGTTGATGAAGCCTTTTCCTTTTTATTTTACCCCTTGTAGATTAACGCAGAACTGTGTCTGTGATAGTGCTCACTTTTGTTCTTTGTATACTTTGCGCACTTCTCTGTCTTCTTTTTCTGATACTTTTTCTTTTTATGTTGAATTTTTCTTAGGGAAAATTGCTTAGACCTTGGAAGACAAATGTGTTTTAGAGAGAATGGAGCTTGAGAAAAAATTCCTTTACATATGAAAATTTAACCTTTGTCCCATAATCAATATGGCATGCTATATGAATTGTCAGGTTTTTTTCCACATTTAATCTTAGGCCAGATTCATATCAGATATTCAACAAAATTACACAGCTTTACTATCTTATTCTTTATCTAGCGTGTTTAACTATTAGCAGATGTAGGGACTAGTGGCCCTGGAAGTACAAGATATCTTTAAAGGGAAAGCATGTATGTTAGTTGTGGAGAGTTTGTTCCATTGTTATCTAATGCAGTTGATTTAACTATACTCTTCAGGTACTCACGTTTCACAGGCTATTGGAAAACTAGTGCATACCTTGATATATGGATTCCCTTTCCTGGGAAGGGGAGGGAGGGAAGGTCAGACCTTCTTTAAACATCTAAGTGGGATAATGTTCCCATCAAAGCAAATGAGCAATGCTTTTTGGCCAAATGGCACATAACCAGAGAATTATTTGTAGGCATTTTTCACTGATGTTAAATTGTTTAGAGTAGATGCAATATATCCATGTATAAGCCTACCTAGAGAAAGCTTTAAACTCTTTCACATACCAATAATCCAGGTTTGAATTAAAGAGCTAAGATTTTAAGAAGAGAGCTCTCTTGTGGCTTAGGGGTAAAGAGTTGCGCTGCCAACCCAAAGCCATGCATGAGTTTTGAATCCATTAGAAAGATGGATGTGAGAAAGATGAACATTCTTTTCCCATATGATTTACTGCCTCTGAAAACCCACTGGAGGGTCGGCTATGGGTTCGTTCTGACAAACAATGCTTTAAGGAGACTTTCTGGTACAAGTATGAAGTTAGCTGTTAACCAAAAGGCTGGTAGATAAAATTCACTACAAAACTTTTTGAAAGAGAAATGGTGATTTGCTCCCATAAAGATGTCATCCTAGGAAACCTTAAGGGGCAGGCAGTTCTACTCCTCATGCAGGGTTGTTATGAATCAGAATTGATCCGATGGCAAACACACATTCAAATGCTTTACCTAGCTTTTACCATTAGTTCTCCTTGCCAGATCTTTTCCATTCATTCCTAGCCAAAAACCTATCATCCATGGCCTAGTAACACAGCCTTTCACCTCCCCAAACCCTTTGTCTTGGATCTTCTAATCCTTTGGCTGTCCTCAGGTTTCTTCCCTAACATACTCGTCTGACTGGTTCTTAGAAGTATGGCAGAGATTTTTCTGACATAAATTTGGCTACTGCAGATTAAGAGCTTGGAGTCCAAACACTCTTAATGTAAATCTAGGCAAAGCTAAATTATAAAACAAAGAGAACACGTCTAATCCTTCCCCCTCTATGAACAAATCAATACACTGGCTTTTAAAAGACAAGGGAGAGCAGGTTGAAAGAGAAAATACCTGGTTGGAACAGTTTTATGGTAAGGAATTAAGTAAAAGTTATTTGGCTATGACAGCAAGAGAAAAACATGAACCCTAGATATTAAGCCACAAAGCATCTCCGCCCACTTCTGTAAAGGTGAATGAGCAGTTATTTTTGTTTTGTGCACTTTATGTGTCTCAAGCTCCCCAAAGTATGTCTGGAACATAGTAGCTGCTTTATGCATATTTATTAACTGTTTAATGACTGCATAAAATTGAGAGGCTACTGTCATCAAATGTAGTCTTCTCAGAGGTCCATTGTTCTACACAGCTCTTTACACTCTTGCCTCTTTTCCTTGTTTTTGTCGCCCTCTCCTTGAAATGCATATGTAAACTTAAGAACATAAAACACCACTGACATTATAGACCTGTTATTCAAAGCAACGTTATATAAGTCTGCTTTTAAATTAATGTCATGTCTTGCTTCTGTGTAGCATTCGTTCCCGCCTTCTTGGAGCTGCAGTGAAGAAACACAAACAATATTCACTCTCCTTTCCCTCAATCTTTGTTGTTCTCTCTGGCGCTCTTTCACTTTCAATCTTCCTGTACTTGATTTCCTTTCCCAGTATTTCGTTTCTTTAGGGTCGTTGCTCTGCTTTTTTTCTACCTCTCTGCCTGTTGGCCCCTTTGATCCTTTCTTGCTATCCCTCATTCCCAGGAGCTCTCGAAAAGATCTTTTTCCCTTTTCACGTCACTTCCCTCCCTTCTCCCATCGCTCTGTTCTCAGAAGGAGGTGAGTTCCCCACTAGAGGCCAGCACTACCTCAACTTCGTCCCTCCCACGGGCGAGCCGAACTCGGAGAGAAAGAAGGGGAAAAAAGAGGAGACAGAGCGAGAGAGGAAAAAACCCCGGGGCCTAGAGCGCAGAGGCCCGGGAGCGGCGTCGCCATGGCAACGGGCTCCGGCAGGAAACGAGGGACGCGCGGGAGGGAGGAGGAGGTGAGGGCCGAGGGGAGGGGGAGGAGCAGGGGAGGGGTCTGGCTGCCCCGGAAGCACCTCCCCGCCAGCCCCCTCCTCCAGCCCGGCCTGCAAGCCCCCGGCCTGCAGCCCCCACCCTCCCGGCCCGGCAGGAAGTGACAGGCCCGAAGCGAGTCCCGGAGGCCTGGCAGAGCCGCTGCCGGGCCCGCACCCGGAGCGGCAGGAGGGGCGGGGAGCCGCGGCCGCGCCGGGCACCTCCCACCCCGCCCTCGGCGCCCCCGCCCCTCCAGGAAGGGGAGGAGGCGAGGGGGAGCCCGCCGCGGAGGCCGAAGGAGCCCCCCGCCCCAGCCAGGCGACCGGAGACCCCCAGTACGTGAAGTGAACGCCCCCCGAGAGGACTTGGGTGCAGAGCCAGGCGTGAAGGTAACCGGGCGGCCGCGCGCTGGGGAGAGGCAAGACGTCTCTGGGGGCTTGGCTGCGCGGGGATGTTTCTTCTGCCACCTCGGTCGCTGTAACGCCCCAGGTACCTCCCCCAGTTTCTTTCCCTGCCTACCTCTGCTGGGCTTTTCGGTCCTTTCGCTCTGCTTGTCCAAGTCCTGCTATTAATTTCGCTGTACTTAATACTGTCTGTCCATCACCCTACTTGCTTCTGACTGCCCATTTCCTCATTCATTTTTCCTTATCTGACTTTGGTTCTCCCATCTGAGCATGTTTTCTAGTTAACTACCTGCTTTTCATGGTCCGCTGGGTTCTCAGCCTCCCATTCCTTGACTTCTCTCTCCCTCCTGCCTGATTCACTTGCTATCAGTATTGCACATTGCTCTGCTCTGTTGGGTCAGTTCGCTCCTGGCACACCACCGTATCTGTCCTTTTCCTCCATGTATTTGATTCTTTTTCAGAACCTTATTTTCATCAAGGTTTCTATATATAACAACGACCTTGTTCGATCACTGACCCTGTTTTTAAGATTACTTCGATTTCTTTGGCATTTTTCCCTTCGACTGCCACCCCATATGCCTCACCCCTTGTCCAATGACAGAGTTTTAGAAAAGCCCAGGGAAATTGATTTCTTCAAACTGTTGAGTCAATAGACCCAGTTACCAGATAACTTTCCAGTAATGCTTTCTAGTTCTCAGTAGATCTATACTCCGACTCAGTCCAGTCTGTAAACTTTACACTCCATATGTGAGCGGGGATCAGCCATCCTGGGGACCTCTATGTGTCAGCTTATCAGTTTCTTCAAGTTTAATTCGGAAAACTGAAATTCACTGTATTTCCTAAACTTTTTGTTATCTTCATTTCCTATATTTAACTTTACAGTCCCAAAATTTATCTCAATGAATCGATTTTACGTGGCTACGAATGTGAGAATGATCCAGAATCAGGCATTGTTTCACTCTGTTGTACCTTGGGATCACTACTATTTGGAACCGACTCAGCGCCACCTAAAAACAGGATCCTGGAATCCTGGTTTGATGACAATTCCCACTGATCTTATTGAGAGACTTTAAATTGATCCCTTTGCATCTTATTCCCATGTCAGAATATGAAAAAGTTATGAAAACAGAACTCCTTTTCTTGGGAGGCAAGAAGTGGTACAGTATAGGCATTGCACATGTGATTGTAGGAACTAACATCTCTCTATGGGGATACTTGTAAGAAAGTCGTGTGTCTGAGTCCAGTCATCTTTACAACTATGCCGTGCTGCCTCTAATCCTTACCCACTTTTTTTCTTCACATGCTGATATTGAGGATTCATGGGTCTGTATCTGTTTAGTGCTTTGATATTTTGACAAAAGATGTGGGGAGAAGACAGACTAGAATTGAAGCTGATATGATACTGATTATGTGGGTTATATCTTTGTTTGCACTGACATTTGTTGTTCCTGAATGAAGCCAAAGAGATGGATAGAATTCTTGGGAATAATGTTATGATCAGATGATAATGGGAATTGAATAGAGAACTTTATTGCCAAAATGAAGTGGCTTGATTTGTTTTAGATGTAATTTTATGAGAAATTAATTCAGCCTAATAGACCTGTTGACAGCCGTTAGCAGAAATTCTAGTTTGATGTTTACATTCCTAAACCAAAGAGAGCTTCATTGACCTTAAATTTCTAATGCCTGGGTATCCAGTAGAGAATATAGTTTCTAGGTTTAACAAAAGAATTTACTGTACTTTTTTGAAAGTGTATTTCTCACTTTGTTCTGTCTCTTTGCTTAGTTCTTAGCAGTGTTTCCTTATTGCAAGTTTTAGCGTAGTTCCTGAGAGGTAAATTCTGTCCACTTAAGTAGACTGAAATGGACTTAACTCTTTTTGAAAATTTTACCGCATATATTTGATGTTTATTTTATGCCTGTGAGTTATTGATATAACTTAATGATAAAATTTAGCTGATAAAATTATGTCCTATCAGCTGTGAAGTCTTTGTAAATGGAAAACATTGAAGGAGGGAAAGTGACATGTCTGAGGAGTTACTCAGTTAAACAGTTACTCAGTTAAACTGCACTGGAACTAACTCAACATCATCAAGTCTGAACTGATTCATAACTGACCCCCCTAGTGAGTTTTCTGAGGCTATAAATTGCACAAGAGGAGATTGCCTGAATTTTTTCCCATAGAGTAGCTGTTGGATTTGAACCACGTGCCTTTGAGTTGGCAACACAGCTCCTTGTCTACTAGGCCACGTAGGCTATATAAATTGTAGACTAGCTCTTCTGTCACCTAGTTTAAGACCTGCCATGATCAAAATGAGCATAGTAAGCAGCTATACTAACTGACACTGCTTGTATCACAATTTTTGTGGGTTTTTAAAGAAGCACGTGCTGGTGGTGTTGTGATATTTATTAATTGTATGACCATGGAAAATTTCTTTAGCCTCAGAAAAACGTCAACTCCTACAGTTGAAATGTAGATGAACAACAGCTTAACTCAGTAAGAGGCACCTAATGACTTCTCAGTAAGGGTAACCATTGTTAAGGTAATGATAACAGATGGAGATAAAATGTGATAATAGCAAGTTTTAAGTGAGAAGCTTTAAACGTGTTAAAAGTGGAATGTAAGGTAGTCTTGTGAGTTGTCTTACTTTACCATTTTAATTTAATGACAGTTTTTAGGGGGATGTGTAAAAGTTGTTTTTAGATAGGGCATAGCTTCACAAGATGGTACAGGAAAAGAATGTAAGAGTGTTTACAAGTTTGAGAGTTCTAATACCAGAAAAAGCATGAGGCCTAAGAGGAGGATTCTTAGGTAACTTAGATTTATAATCATGTGAAATACATTTGGGATCAAGATGCAAATTTTAACCTTTGTTGCTTTTATCTAGGTCTTGAGTCAGTGCACCAGCCTTGGGGACCCTGGACCATTATCATGGAGACTGAGAGTGAGCAGAACTCCAACTCCACAAATGGGAGTTCCAGCTCAGGGGGCAGCTCTAGGCCCCAGATAGCACAGATGTCACTGTATGAACGTCAAGCAGTGCAGGTGAGGCTGAACTCTGAGAAACACTGATTTGAGTATTGGTTTGGGATAAGCAGAAATGCTGGAAGAGAATCACCCTAATGTTTTCCAGCAAAGCAGAGAAAGTGGGAAAGTTGGATTAGGTGATTACTAAGAAGTCCAGAAGAGCAATGATGCCAATTAAAAGGCTAAAGTGCACCTGATTTAAGGTGTGGTCTTTTCAGTCACCTGCTGTGCAACTGGACAGTATGGACAATGAATAAAGATGGTAGAAGAATCAAGCTTTTAAGTTGTGGTGTTGGAGAATAGTGCAGTTGGAGAATAGTGCAGAAGAACTAATGGACTGACAAAAGAAGAAATAGATATGTTTGAGAAAGTGCAGCCAGAGAGCTCCTTGGAATCAAGGATGGTGGACATGTTATTATTAAGAGAGGTTGTTTTTTAGAGAAAGACATCATGCTTGCAAAGGTAGAGGGTCACCAAAAGAGAGGAAGATACTCAACAAGATGGGTTGATATAGTGAATGCGGCAGTGGGCTCAAATGTGCGGGGGGTGATGAGGATGGAACAGGAAAGGATAGGATTCAGATCTGTTCATAGGGTCACTATGAGTCATATTTGACTCAACAGCACCTAACAACCACAAAAAATATCTTCCAGCTCTTAGAATCTGAATTGACAAAATTCTGAGTGAACAGAACAGAATTTTTTTATTTATTTTTATTATTATTTTTTTATTATTTTGTGTGTGTACTGTCAAATCGGATCTGACTGGTACAGGAGGAGAGTGTCCCTCCTTTCCCAGCAGAGCATCTGGTGGGATTTGAACCGTGCGCCTCTGGGATTGCAGTGCAGCTTCTTGCCACTAAGTAGGCCACCAGAGCTCCAGAACAGAATTTAATTCTTTTAGGTGAGACACCATTTAGTCCAACTATTGTTCTGTACCATTAAGTCCTAACTGATCCATAGCTAGCTGACCTTCCAGTGGGTTTTCAGAGGCAGTAAATCACATGGGAGAAAATTGCCCATCTTTCTCCTGCAGAGCAGCTTGTGGATTAAAACCACATATCCTGATGTTAGCAGCACAGTTTCTTACCAATAAACCACCAGAACTCCCAGATAAGCTGGAATGTGTCACATTTATAATCTTTGCCATTTCTTATAACTTATCAGAATAATGGAAATAATCATGAACCTCTTTCCGTATTTTTAGATCAGTAGTAAATTTCAGGTTTTACATTTTGTTGAGGACTAGGAGTTTTGTTTAAGACAATATTTTTAGTAGCTAGAATGACCATGCCCATCATAAAGATAGTTGTAATTATTAAAAATTAAGAAGGGAGCTTTGATATCCTAGTGTAAGGAGTTGTACTGCCAATCCAAAGGCAGGTGATTGCACCCCTGAGCTGCTCTGAGGGAAAAAGATGGGCAGTTTTCCCTCATGTCATTTGCTGTCTCTGAAAACGTATTGGAGGCTCAGCCATGAGTAGGTTCCGACTTGATGGTACATAACAATAACATCAGCAACAGAATGACTACTCATTGTAAAGCAATTTCTAGTTGAAGATTAAGAATACAGTAAAATCAGTTAACAATATAGTTAAATTACCACTGTCATTTTTATAACCATCAGTTAACCTGTAGATATATGAAAATGCCAATTGAGAATTTTACCTGTAGACTATTTCAAAATCTTGCTTTTCACTAATTTCCATTATTTCAAACCTCTTAAGGCTTTATCACTTTTACTATAGCTCTAAAGTAAGGTCTTACTCTTTTCTACATAAGTTAACATTCTATTTCTTTTCATTCTGTTTGTTATTGTTAGGTGTTGTAGAGTTGAGTACTACTCATAGAGACCTTGTGAAAAACAGAACTGAACCTTGTCCCATCCTGTGCCATCCTCATCTCCAACATATGTGAGAGCCTATTGCTCCAGTCATTGTGCCAGTTTATTTTGCTGACTTTTCACTGGTCCTCCACCAAATATGCTGTCCTTTTCTAATATTCCTAGCAGCATGCCCAGAGTATGTGAGATGAAGCTTCACCATCTCTGCCTCTAAAGCAGCACTCTGCCTACACTTTCTCTAAGATAGGTGTTTGTTCTTTTAGCAGTCCATGGAGAATTCAGGAACATCAGAACTCAAAGGCATTGATTCTTCTATCACTGTCCCAGTTCTTTTCTTTCCCAGTTTTCAGCCAAGTCCCCTTGGCTCACTACAGACTATGCTACTAGAGTTCCCTGCTCTACAAGCTGGTTCTAATTTAAAAATGGAAAAATAAAGATATTGATAATGTAGCCCATTCTCCCCTCTCCCTTCTCATGGCTCCTTTGACAGGGGATTACAGAGATTCCCATAGATAAGGAATTTAGAGTGACCATTTTCTCTTTCCTCCTAGGCTCTGCAGGCACTGCAGCGGCAGCCCAATGCGGCTCAGTATTTTCACCAGTTCATGCTCCAGCAGCAGCTCAGCAATGCTCAGCTGCATAGTCTGGCTGCTGTCCAGCAGGTGAGAGGTCAGCAGCTCGCAGGCCTGTGCAGAGGGGACAGGCACAACAGGTGGATAGGGGAGGCTTGCGGTACTGCATCTTGACTGAGCTAGGCCAGAGTCAGAGTCTTTCTGCCTCCTGTCCTGTAGGAGGTTTTACTGAACTTTAGCTTCTGTGTTATGCTAAGAACCACAGGGAAACTACTTTCTAAAGGTGGAATGCCGTGGTAGAGACCTACACTATCCAGTGTGGTAGCCATTAGCCACATGTGCTTGAGACATAGCTTGTCTAACTTGAAATACACTGCAAGACTTTAGATTTCTAAGATTAATATGAAGGAAAAAATGTTAATATCTTTGTAATTTCTTATACTGGTTATATATTGAAAACATTTTAGATGTATTCAGTTTAATGAAAGATTATTAAAATTAACATTGTATGTTACTCATATTAACTTTTTAATTAATTTTATTAAATCTAGTTTTTTGCTAGATTTACCAATGACCCAAAAGTTCTTTCCCTGTCTAAAAGTGATAGTAGAAGCAGGAGGATGGGTTGTCATCCTGCCCTGGGAGGGTGTGGGGAGCTGTCAGGTTAGTGTATATGGTAATGTGCAGGTTGTTCAAAGAGTGGAGAGACTTTTCTTTATTCTGGAGTAGAAGCTAAGTTGTTCCATGAAATAGTTAATTTTTGTGTGTGGTTTAGTATTGGAAGATTCAGATCCTTTTCCTTTGTTTTCTTCTGTTTGCTCTTGTTTTCCTTCCCCTCGTATAGGCCACCATTGCTGCCAGTCGGCAGGCAAGCTCCCCAAACACCAGCACTACACAGCAGCAGTCTACCACCACTCAGGCCTCAGTGAGTACTGTGTCTGCCCACTGGAAGTCTTTTTCTCTGTATCCTTGTCCCTGAGTTAAATGACTTCATGTAACTGACCTGAGAGTGTTCATTGGACTATCGATGGATGTTTACCATTTCAGGGCTATTGTACATACAGTCACTATGAGTCACAAGCTATTTGATGGCACATAACAACAACAACAACATGTACAGAATAGACATATAAGGGAATGTAGCCAACTTTAGCCTTAATAAAGGGATTGAGGAATGGAGGACATTTTTTGGACAAAAGTGAGATAAAAGAAAACTGTATCCTTTATTAAAGAACAATGTCCTCCATTTGACCCAGACTGATATATTTTAAACTTTGGAAATTCCTCATAGTAGTTTAGATGGCACAGATGGATAGAGAATTCGAAATAATTTACCTATGGCTATAAATGCAAGATACTTTGTTTTTTGACCCTTGTCTGTGCCTCTCTAATTTGTCAGTAAGGGAATTCCTTTCTCTCTTCTCAATTCTTTTGTCATGATTCCATTCTGTTTCTGTACCGCACAGATTAATCTGGCCACTACTTCAGCCGCCCAGCTCATCAGCCGATCCCAGAGTGTGAGCTCTCCTAGTGCCACCACCTTGACCCAATCTGTGCTACTGGGGAACACCACCTCCCCACCCCTGAACCAGTCCCAGGCCCAGATGTATCTACGGGTAAGCCACAGACCAGGCATAGCCACCAGTGCCGCTGGGGCATAGTTTCATCCCAAACAAGGACTTGAGTAAAGACCATTTTGTTTACAGTTGGCTGCCCAGATGTTTTGAAACAAGTTGATAATTTCTGTGCCTCCTGTACCCCTACAAGTGATGCTCAGTATCAGTATTCACGTTCAAGCAGTCTGTAAATGACATTGAGATTCTGAGCTACAAGATGCTGACCTTGCTATTTAGCTAAATTAAGTCAAATGTGGTCCAACCTTTAGACCTGTGGCTCAGGTTTCCAAATTCTAGGTTTCCTCTCTTAGCTCATCTTTTTACTTATGGTTTCTTAAGTGTTTGACTCTTTGCTGTTGACATGCTGTTTTTCTGTACATTTTATGTTTTCTTCTGGATCAGTTATCACCTATGGAGAATGACAGGCTCTGGGTTGGCATGGCAAGGGACAGGACTTAGCTATTTAATTCCTCTTTTTCATTTTTACTTGTCTTTTCATCTGTCTCTTCTGTCTGCTTTTCTTCTGCTCTTCTTCTCCTGCTCTGCTTGCCAGCCACAGCTGGGAAACCTGTTGCAGGTAAACCGGACCCTGGGGCGTAATGTGCCTCTGGCGTCCCAACTCATCCTCATGCCTAACGGGGCCGTGGCTGCAGTCCAGCAGGAGGTGCCATCTGCTCAGTCTCCAGGAGTTCATGCAGATGCAGATCAGGTCAGTGGCAACCCTTCCCTTGCAGGTATTCTTGGGGGCAGTGAAGGGAATATCCATGAGCCAAGGCCCAACTTTGCCATCACTGTTTTCTAGAATTCTTTTTTTTTCTTTCCTTAGTTGATAGAGAAGTTGAATCTCTTCTAATACTTGGAGTTAGGAAGGAAGACATAGTTCTGTTCTTTCTTGTATTATTTACTGTATATTTACATATGAATACTATTGTTGAATAGTAATGTATATTATATTGATGGTGGTGGTATATGCAGCAAAACATACACCAATTCCTCAGTGTACACATGTACAATTCAGTGGCATTGGTTATGTTCTTTGAATTATGCAACCATTCTTCATTTCCTCCAAATTAGTCTTTCTCCATTAACAGGAAGTCAGTACCCTTTAAACTTCTTTTCTGACCTTTTGCTGTTATCAGTTTGAGCATATGTATATAGTGGTTGAAGAGAGCACAATATTCAAGGCAAACATTCTTTACTAAATAAGATAACCTATTTGATTTAAAAATGAGCTCAGGGGATACTTTTTGGTTTGTGTTTAAGGTGTAAAGATTCTCTAAGGTCAGTAGTTTAGGGATCTAGCCACAGTGACTCCAGAAAATACTGTATTCTTTGGAAATCTTTTCGCATGCTTTTCTCCTTTTTATTTGGATTACACTATAGAATCTTTCATTAATATATTCAGTGTTGGTAGCTTGGAACTATCAAGTTCTTCCAGTCTCATGACAAAGAAGGTATTTGTTCACAGACCAATTAGAAATAAATTCCATTTCTTCTTCCTGTTCCTTATTTATGGAAGCAGCTTTGGGTGAAACAACCTTCTGGTTCTGGAAAGTCTGATTCTCAATATAAGTCAGGTTTCCCTATCCTTTTATGGCTGTTTAAGAAGTCTCATTCTTTATCCTTGTAGAAGTGTTTTATAAAAATAAAAAGTTGAGAGTATTCTGTTGCCTATCTGATGGATGTGAATTAGACCTAGCTGAGTTTTTAATCAGCTGAGGTACATAATTGATGATCTTATGTGAAAGCATCTTGTTAATACTATTGCTAAATATTGTGATTGTTGTGTACCTAGAGTAGGAACTGACGCACAGCTGACCCTCTGACAGGTTTTCGAAAGTAGTTAATCACACAGGAGGATATTGCCCATCCCTCTCCCACGAAGCATAGATGTTTGATTCTTTTGTCAGAGTTCTTAATTGTGGTAATTCTCATTTTTATTCTTCATAAAGGTCTTCGTCACTATTACTTCTTATGCTTTGTTTCCAAAATATATATAAATAGATAGTTATTCTCACACAATTGGACTGGAATATTTTCATTTGTTATGGAGAGACACAAATTACGTATTTATTTCATCACTTTAGTTTACTCGTTAGAAAGTATCAGACCATATTTTCAGTAGTTTATTGTGTTTTGGGAGAAATTTTATAGAGCAAATTAGTTTTCTTCTTAATAACTTACATATGTTTTGATTTATGACATTAGTCAAAATCCCATCAATGTTACAGCACACTTCTGTTTCCTCCCTAGGTTCCCATTTTTTCCCCTTGCTCATCTTTGCACCTTCTTGCCTCTAAACTTTGATTTTAGGCAAATGCTGCCTTTTTGGTTGGTTTGGTTGATTACTCCAAAGGGCCTCTTCCTCACAAGCGTTATGTTAATTTAGAAGCCTGCCTACTATGCATACCCATGTTTATTGTGGCTTTGTTCACGATAGCAAGGAATTGGAAACAACTTAATTGCCCATCAACAAAGGAATGGATAGAGAAGCTGTGATATATTCCCACAATGGAATACTATGCTGCATTAAAAACAAGAAACTCATGCAGTGACCATGGAGGACATTATGCTGAGTAAAATATCTCAGTCACAAAGGGACAAATACTGCATAGTGCCACTGTTGTAAAATAGGACGAGACTAAGAAAGATGGGATAAATAATGTATACTGCATTGAAATAGATGAGGAAGAAAACTCTTTAAAAGGGATATGTGATTAAGTATTATTGTCATGACAGGAATCCAGTGGACCTGGGGGGAGGGATTATAAAACAATGGGGGAACTCTACTTTTCAAAGAGAAGAGTGTACTAGGGGGGAGGGGTAGGCGGGGAGAAAAGTGCAACAATGAATGAGTGGAAATACAAAGTCTCTAAATTTTCGTTAAAATTAATAAATAATTAAAAAAAAAAAAGAAGCCTGCCTACTGTTTGGTTGAAAGGAAATTTCCAGAAGTGGGTTTAGTTCCAGCTTTGAAGATTGTTTAAGGGCCATAGAGTCAGGGATTTCACCAGTTTCTATCAGACCAGTAAATGTGGTCTCTTTTGTGACTTGGGATTTTGTTCTACATGTTTCTCCCAGTCTCTGTGCAGGGCCTTCGGTTGTGATCCTGATCAGCGTGGATGATTGTGGTAGGCAGGCAGGCAGGCACTATTTAATTTTTTAAATAAAGAATCTCAGGCTAGTGAAGATTGTAGTTTTTGCGATGCATTAGTCCTTTGGACTAACTGTTTCCTTGAGTTACTGGTTTTCTTCATGGACTCTTACTCTTGATGTATTCACTTATGTGATTGAGACTTTAGAGATTAAAAAGAAACTGTGGGTCTTTCAAAGATTTTAGAGAATGAACAGTGTTAAACAATGTTACTGAGTGTTGTATTAGTTTAGACAAGAGATGATTATTTCCCTGGGCTCTAGCTTTGTGAGACATTTTGATAGCCCTTTTTTAAAAAACAAAACAAAACCGTGATTTTAGTGAAAGTTTACAGAAAGGATGGATTTTCATTCATTCATTGATACATATTTTTCCTCCATACCCCCTTTAGCAGAGGCTTGATTCATGCGAAAGATTTGATTTGGGTTGAGAAGCTAACTATAAAAATAAAGGGATAATTCATACATGTAAACTTGAATGTAAGTAGTGGGGGTGGGGTGAAAGAGACAAATGGAGACAGCAGGCTTGGTGTTATGTTGTTAGTAGTCTGAAACCTAAGTGAAAGAGTTAGGGTTAACTTCGTAGGTTTCAGGGGCCATTGCTGATTATTGAACAACTAACTCACAAAATAAGGAAAATACTTTAGAAAGAATCACTGGGGAACATATGCCTAGAGAAAAAGTGATACAAATTTAGGCAATGTGCTAAGAGACTCTTGGTCACCTACTTATAAGTTGTTGTGTTCCGTCAAGTCAGAACTGATTCATTGATGACCTTCCAACAAGTTTTCAGAGGCAGTACATCGCACAGAAAGAAATGCCCACTTTTCTCCCTTGGAGCAGCTGGTGGATTCTAACTGCATCCCTTTGGATTGGCAGAGCAGCTCCTTACCACTGAGCCACCAGAACTCAGGTATATAAGTAAGGTTATGGTAATAGCAGTGAAAGTGGAGGGTGAAATTGCATTACTTTCTAATCCAGTTTATCCATCTAGTCTTTGTTCAGATATTTGAGTGTGAATATATAGAAGGACAGAGAGTAATTGTTAAAATTGTGAGTCTGATATCTAAGTCAGATTCCAGCTCTAGGACATACAATGTGACGTTGGACAAATGATCTAATGTCTTTCTTCCACATTTTCTTCATCATAGAAATGAGTGTTAGACTTACCTAAGGATGTGTTGTGGAAACTAAATGAGTTTGCATGGTTAAGTGCTTGGAACAATGCTTGGACTTAATATCAGCTTTTATTATATAACACACAGTCTTTAGCCTTGGATATCCAAGAAAGTCATAATCACTACTCTGGTGGAGATTCTGGACCATTGATATACTAGACATAAAATTGTCTCTTGAATGGTAAAATTGCAGCTTTATTGGCAAGTACAGAGTGCTCTGGAGCATAGAAAGATGCCTGGTGAATGTAGCTTTGGAAGAGGCAGAAGAGACTTCTCTGAAGAAATGAAATTTAAATGGGGCTTAAAGAAGTTAGTAAAGTGAAGTCCACTCAGGGACTCTGAGGTTATTGACGAGTCCACAGATCCCAAGGAGCTTGACATATTTGAGGAATTGAAGCAAGGCGATGTTCTTCATGTTCTTCCAGTTTGGCAGAGTGGGCTGGAGATGGTACTGGAGAGTTAGAGGAATCCTCATCTTGTAAGCCCTTGCCCTTCTTAGGTGCTATTCAATCTTTTCTAACTTATAGTGACTCCTCTACAACAGGAAAAAAAGCACTGTCCATTCCTGCTGTGCTTATTAGGCCCGTTGCTGAAGTCACTGTATCAACGCATCTCATGGAGATCTTTACTATTTCATTGATGTCTTTTCTTCAGCACTATAAAGTGGTCCTCTGCAGCACTTTTTCCCAGTACAGTATGACATTTCATTTCTTGACTGCTGTTTCAGTGGTCATTGATTATGAATCCAAGTGAAAGAAATCCTGGACAACTTAACTGTTTTCTCTTTTGTCATATGAGGATTTTTGTTAGCTTTATGCTGAGCTGTAATCTGTGTTGTTTGATTTTCATCAGTAAATGATGTAAGTCTTTGTTTTCAACAAAGTTGTGTCATGTTAATATTTCAGTGTACTAATAGGTGTTCTTTCAGTCCAGGTGCTGCATTCTTTATATAGTTTATCTTTTCAGATTATTTACTCACCATACACATTGAATGTTTGCTGTCAGAGACCTCTCCAGAGTACTGAAGAGCATTGATGTCAGTCTGGAGACCAAGGTGCCCCTGATACAGGCCATGGTCTTTGCAGTCACTTGCTATGCATCAAAGAGCTAGACAATGACTAGGGATGATAGAAGGAGAATTGATACCTTTGAGCTATGGTGCCAGAGAAGAAGAGTATTAATATTCCATGTACTGCTAAGAAAACAAACAGGTTCGTCCTGGACAGAGTTAAACCAGGCTGTTACTTGAAAGCAAATATTCTGAAGTTTTGTCTGACATACTTTGGACATGTTGCAAGGAGGGACCAGTCTTTGAAGAAGGACGTCATGCTTGGAAGGGTGGGTGGGCAGCGCAGGAGAAGAAGACCCTTGATGAGGT